CTGACCAATTTTCTGGCTCCGCCAGTGCTCCTACCCAATATATCATGTCCATATTTCAACTCTAGAATAAGAGTGAGTGTACATCTCTAGTGTATCATGTTGTCCTCATGTGTACAAGTCAAATTTTATATCATACGAGATTTGTTCTTTGTATTTCATATCAAGATGTGTTGTCTTGCACCAACTCTCCTTGCCCAAACAAAACTCAACTCACCCCCAACATTGATTCATTATGTGCAACATGAGATGGGTCTATTTGCAATTCTCAATGTATGTGCACTTTTTTTATTTTTCTCCCCATGCATTACTAGTTCGAATGAGTCTACTACGTACTCATTGATTCTGATTTAGACGAAACACTTGTTGATGATGGTTAGTGATGATCGAAATGACTATTTGGCTGGTCATTTCAACTTCAAGTGCCTGAAATTTATCAATATCGTATGACTTCACCGTGTAATTATGTGATCAGCGCCCTTGGGTTGGGGGAAGGGGAGGAAAAGAAAGAAATCTCTGAAATGAAATCTGCTGCTTTGCTTCCCACTGTCGTGTTCTGCTGCTTCTTCTTCGTCTGGTGAGTGGTGGTGTGTGGGGATATCATATGGATCTGCTGGCAGAGAGAAAGAGAAAGAGAAAGAGAGGCCTCTTCTGCTTCTGCATTCTGAAATCTGAACCGAGCGGCTCTGTCCTATTCCCTCCCACAGCCTTTTCATTTTTTTCACCTTTTCTTTTCTTGTTGGCAATTCTATTCTATTGGGTAATGGTAAATTTATCTTCATGGTTTCCAATGGAGCGAGGTGGGTCAGGGGAAGTATAGGGAGGGAGTAGGGGAGTGATGTATGAAAGGCTGTCTGTGGCGTTTTGTTTTTGCAACAAAGAAAGAGAAGAGAAGAGAAGAGTGCACCTGCAACGCCACAGATTGCAGAGAGAGAGAGAGAGAGAGAGATAGGATTTTTGCGTGCGTGCGTGAGGAAGTGTGCAGCAGAGGGCCAGACCAGAACCAGAGATTCAGAGAGAGAGAGAGAGAGAGAGAGAGAGAGAGAGAGAATAGATTGTTTTTGTTTTTACTTATTATTATTATTATTACCTTTTCTTCTTCTGCTTCTTCTTCCTCAGCCTTCTTCTCAATCCTGCTGGCAGGCAGGCTGGGCTGGCTGCTGCTTCACTAGTCAGTCTCAGTTGAAGTAAAAAATTCACTCACACAGTAATATAGCAAAAGTCAGTTTATTTTGATTGATTTAAGTAACCATATATGATATACTCATTTACGGGTGGTTTGATTTTGGTGATGGCTGAATTGATACATTGTAAACCATACAAGTGTAATATTTTATATATATGATGGCGTATTCGGTGCACTCACTTTTTCGGGTGCACTCAGTGCACTCGCCTCATAATTGTCATTCTGAGCATGCGATTCATGTCAAAACAGTATCAATTGTTGCTTATGATATTATGAACAAGAAGCACATTAATTTGAAAAAAATTCATTCAAAATTTACTTTAATTCGAAGAATTTAGAATTTAGGAATTTAGGGTTAGGGTTTAGGTTTACAATTTGGGATTTTGGGTTGGAATTAAAAATTGAAGGTTAAGGGGTTAGCGTAATAGATTTATTTGTTATGATTCTATGTTATATCATCATAATAGATTGGGAGTACTAATTAAAGTTCAAAATTTGATGTATTACATACACTTTAGAGTTGGGTGCACTGAGTACACCAAAAAAAGTGAGTGCACCGAAGTAGCCACCTATATATATATATATTAAGAAAATTAATATATAATATTTTACATTATTTCATTATGATGATAATTATTGTAGTATTTAAGAATATTATGTTACTTTTGGAGAGAAATAGAAGTTTTACCTTTTGCTTTTTAATGTAAGATAACAAACCATATAAAAAAGTTGGGGGTATAGTTGGAATAAATAAAGCACCTAACAATGTATTCTCAATAATCGCAATTTTTTTTAGTAGACATATTACTATCACTTATTTTGAGTGATATTTTTTTTTTCACATCAACACAACAATGGTAGAATTATTAAAGTATAAATTAAAAATAATTATGCATTATGAACAATGCACACACGGTAACAATCACGCCTAAACTATCAACTAAACCAAACAACCCCAACAAACAAAAAGTCCACACCCTATAGCATCAAGGTTGTCAATCCACAGGTTGACCCCTCACACGGTGAGGAAAATGAGGGACACACACTTGTGGGTCGTCGACCCTTAGCAAGGTTCCCAGGTTGGATATCAGTTACACGATGTTGTTTTTCCTTTTGGTTTGCGAAATGCGACTCTTTTTCGGGTTTCCCATTCGCCTAACCCTATCTTGGGAATTCTAAGTTGAACTTTGAATATTTGTAGTATGCGTGTGTCTTTGAATTTTCACTATACACTCGATCCAAGTACGAAATGCTGCTTTGGTGTAATGTCGTATGTTATTTATCCATATGTTGTGTGATAATTGATACAGTATAAAAATGTGGGAACAATATAATGAATTTTTCATATATTCGAGCTAAATTGGACCAAAACAATCAGACCATTGACCCACAACCCACTTGCCGGATCGGGCCAACAGGCTAAACTCGACTTACAACATCAATAAAGAAAAATACTATTTGTCGACCGTCATGCTCTTCCTTCAATATTAGTATTTGCAATGGATTTTATCATCATTTCCTGCCTTATCTTAAATCAAATTCAAATGATTTTATAACACTACCGATTTCATCGGGTCAACCTTCTTATAAATATCGAGATTGAAACATGTAACCTACGGGGAAAAAAAAAGTATTATGATTACCACGTGACCGGGGAGAACCAGAAGTTATGAATTGGACTAAACTAGAGGAGTTGTGACAAATCAAAATGTGACCCTAGCTAGCATGCATCAATTGCAAAGAAGGTTTTCCACCCCACTGATTCCGGCCGGCCGGGGGTTACATACAACAAAAAGGAACAATTGACTAATGCAGAAGTTCATAAAAGCAGGGTATCCCAAACGGAAACAACTTTGTCCTGGCCCGGTTTGTTTGGTTGGAATTTGGACTCTCTCTGGCTGTGAAACTGTGAATCAAGCCAAGGTTCGTAGGGTCCAACGGTGGGAATTGAGTAGTTTTTGTTTGTGCATGGAGAAATAGCCATGGCAGCAGAGCACGCGCTACCTCCTCCTTCCTAGTCCTACCTGCACAAACAAAATATGGGTGGTAATTATAAGCAGTTTGGGGATCCCTTGATGATGATGATGGTTTGGGAGTCCATGGCCATATCTTCATTTCTCATGATGATCATGACGACGATGCTCTCTCTCTCTCTCTCTCTCTCTCTCTCTCTCTCTCTCTGGCTAGCTTCCCAGCCAGGCCAGCAGCTGATGATGGCGACGATGATGCATATCTGATCTCAGGATAACGATAATCATCATGATACTTATAGAGAGCTGAAAGAGAAACATCCAAACCCACAACCTTAGAAAGCTGGCCTTTGGATCCTACGCAAATAGAAACTCAACTTCCTCGTTTTCTTTCTCTCTTCCTGGGTTTTCCTTTACCGCCTTCCTGTTCTGTTCCAATGAGCTCTCACTTCACTTGTTGAACCGCTACTACTACTTTACTACTGTCACTCATACTTTACCATGGGTAGCTAGTTACAGTGACCAGGGACCAGTCCTTTGAATTAGGGATTTGTTGTAGGCAGTTAGCTTAACTCCCAATGTTAATGTAAGCTAGAATATAGAAATAGATTTAGATTGGTTGAGAGAATAATTAGACGGAGTTGAGTAATTTAGAATTAGAGATTAGGGTATTTAGAAAATATTAGAAAAAAGGGGTAATTCTATCGATACTTTAATAGATTTTTTTTTTATTACAATAGAACTACAATATATTATATAGTAGTAAATTATCCTTAGGGGTCGTTTGGAAGTTGCGATTGTTAAATAGATGTATTGTTGAGAATGCATGTATAATATTATACATGTATTGTCGAATTTGATGCATTGTAGAATACAACGTTTGGTATGTGTGATTGTGTATGTCGCATCAGCTAAAAGCTGAGACAAAACAATCTCAACTCAACTATCACAACTAAAAGTTGAGATATAATTCTACAAAAAAAAAAAGTTGAGATATAAGACTACTAATCCTACCCTCAAGAGGCTTCAAGACATTGATAAACACAGTGATATGAGGCCTTGTTATTTGTGTTCGCTTTGGAGGTAATCATATGACCATTTTGACTTTCATTTGAAGTTACGCCGTATACCATAAGGAATGTTGTCCTAGAACATACTAAATATACTAAATTTATTCTTGTGCCCTTGGTTTTTCACTAAGAATTTTTCAGAAGTCATATTAAAACTTCCCACACTTAGATTTTTTCTCTTACAATAATCAGAACTTTGATTCATCTTCGAAAATCATATACATAGAAACAACTATCATACATGGGCTGAAATTAAATAAAAAATAGTAAGCCAATCACTTGGGAGTTGGGAAAGAACGACGAGCTTGTGACAGAGCAATCCAGTCAGCTCTGAAATTCAAACGACGAGAAATCTTGCGAATGTCAATCAAAGGCGCTGAGTGGAGGATAATCCCACACTTAGTTGATGTAAGTGTAACTGTTATGGACAGTTAATTACATTGGTAAGTTACCTTAACTGGAAGCCACGGTTTGGGAGACTGAAGAAATCATCAAGACCGGACCGCACATTGGTCCCCTTGCATCGGACGGCCCAAATGCATCTGTACGGGTGCAGGGTATGTAGTCTACCCCTCACACCTTCCCATCCTTCTCCGTTAATAACGTTAACGGCGGCCGTGGATGCCGTGCTTGCTCTATCTTCGCCCCCCGCCAGTGGCAGTGCAGTGGATAAGCAAAAAAGATAGCGGAAACAGTTCCTAAAACGAAAAGCCTTTCCGAATTCCGAATTCAATCCTCCCCGCCATTAGAGCACAACACACTCTGTGAGCCATTGCCATGGCAGCTGCAGTTCTATCTTGCTGCTCCGCCCTTACTTCCAGACTGAACAATCTCTCCATTACCGCCACCACTTCTTCTTCTCTTCCATCTCAATCAAAGTCCATCAGTTTCTCCTCTTCCGTTTCGCATAATCCGAGTCTCTTCAGTACAGGCAACTAGTCTTTCCTCCAATTGGCGATTTGGGCAATTTCCTTGGGTTACTACATTCTGTCGGGGGTTTTGATTTGATTGAGCTGTTTTGTTGTTGGGTTTTAGGATGCCTGTCGATGAGGCCAGTAGAATGGTCTGTTCGCCGTTCTTCAGTTGTTTGCGAGGCTGCACCGGGCAGGAAGGCCGATTCGGCGGTCAAGAGAGCTCGCCAGGCCGAGAAGAGACGCGTTTACAATAAAGCGCGCAAGTCTGAAGTCAGAACCCGGATGAGGAAGGTGGGTAACCCTGCTCTTCTTCTCCCCCCTTCATTCTCTACAGTCTGTGCTTCCAAAGATTGGAACTTTGGGAAATTTTATTTTAGGCTCTTGTGGAATAAAATAGTGAAGCAGGGTTTTTGGACTGTAGATTGTACTCCATGTGTGTGACATTGTTTCAGAATCAAAGTCGAGACTTGGATAAGGTCCATGTGTGTGACATTGCTTGCAACATGAAAAGCTACACCTTTGTCAACTTGGTTTCTCGGAATGGGATTATACCAAATTTTCTTATCTGTTGGGTTGGTTTTTTTTTTTTTTTTTTTTGTGTGCTAGTATTTGATCTTAACATTCTAGGTGAATAGAATCTAGGCTTAGATTTCAATGTCTCAATCTCCATTTTGGAATTAAGGGGAGTAAAATTGAGGTGTAGGAAGATGGGTATGCATCAGACTGGAAAGTGGTATGTGTGCTAGTTTGCGCTGCAGGTTAGCTACATCATAGAAATGGATTAAGGGGTTTTTGAGCTTGGTGAAATAGCTTCATCGGATACATGGGAGTGAATGCTGGCCCGAAGTTCGAATGATGGATGGGTTGGATGTTTTCATCAGTTCTTAGGACTGAAAATGTCCTCTTGGGAGAGTAGGTGTAGGTTAACTCAGTTTCTTGCCAAAGCATGTTCCGCACAGTTATATAAGTTTTCAGAGGTACCCTGGGTATGGAACTGCTCTCAGAGTATCTCATATGGTCTCACCCTACGGTTGAGTAAGGTGCATCTGAGCTCCTTACTCCTTTAATTGGCTGCAAGCTGCTCTCCGTGTAGCTGAAAAGTTGAAAGGTTTTCTTCTCTGTTTCATTTTCTTTTCCTTTATGGGCCTGTGGTTATTCGCTGCATTTTCCCCTCATATTTATTCGTTCAAATACATTGATTTGTCTGTGTGTTTTAATAGCATATATTTGCAGCTCTGCAAGCCAAGTGGCTGCACATAAAGCTATATTTTTTTTTGACAAGGACATAAAGCTATATTTAGAAGCAAGCTTTTATCTAGTTTCCTAGTAGGATTCCTTTTCTTATGTGAACCCTTCTCTGTACCTTTCCACATAAAGTGAACGATTGCTTAGATTCAGGGTAGAATAGGAACTAGCCATACCTGGGAAATTTTGTAGCATTGAACTTCGCAATTGTTTGGGAAGCAAGAAACCATTTTATACTAGGGTCTAGATGGTTCGAGTTGAAGCAGTTTCTCATGGTAGTTCATGACTCATTTTTTGTGCTTGGTCTTCAAGTATCCTTGTTACAATTTCTATAAGATATCTGCTGAGCTGACCTGAAGATTAGACAATGGTGCCCCATCATCCTATAGAGAGCTGATGCTAGTTAGGGAACAAATTCATAGCAGCTGGCATCACTCATAAGTTTTCGTGGGATTCAACTGGGGGCAAAGGAATCATTGTGATGAAGCATTTGCTTATCTCTCTGAATGCTGCTGCTGCAGGTGTTGGAAGCACTAGATGATTTGAGGAAGAAACAAGAGCCACAACCCGAGGAGGTGCTTCCAGTTGAGAAACTAATTGCAGAAGCCTATTCGGTGATCGACAAAGCTGTGAAAGTCGGGACGCTGCACAGGAACACAGGAGCACGCAGGAAATCACGGCTTGCCAGGACTAAAAAGGCTGTCGAGGTTCATCATGGCTGGTACACTTCTTCCCCTGCCCCTGCTGCAGTTGCCAGCTAATGGAGATCTGATTCTGGGTTTTGACATTGAGAGGGAAGGGAAGTGAGAAAGTTGTTTTCCTTTTCCTGCTTGTCTGTGTTATTTTTTGTCACTATAATTTACTAGTACGGAAGCCCGCGCTTCGCGGCGGGAGGATTAGAGTGTTTGATCTTCGAATTCATAAGTGAGGGGGGAAATATGAAAATAGAGTTATTATAATGCAATCAAACAATCATGATTTGTCAATAATCATGAAACAAATACTAATGAGCTTGTCAAATGAATACTTAACCTGACAACTGATATCGTAATCAACTCAACACCTCAGGTGTGGAAGGCAATGAATCCTACAATTTCTTTGCTTACATGTTCAATGCATAGAAAACAAATGCTGCACCGAAATGAGCATTCGGTTCTTGAATTTCTGAATAAATATTAACACAGATGCCACCCTGTGCAATAACAATAGAAAAGGTCAACTGGAGCTAAACATAACTACACTTTGAAGTTGTCAAGCTAATAGCACGGCTGTAGCTTGTGCAAAGGGAAATCAGGGTGGCTCCCATCAGGCTACATTGAGAGGCGCTAGCGTATTCCTGCTGCTAAGTAAAGCTTTATTAAAGTCGGACTTCCCTTTCTGTTCTCCTGTACCACAGTTGGTGCAGCCTGTCTGAAGACAAAAACCAATTCTCAAAGAACTAATAAAAACTGTGTCACAAATTATGCATCCTTGAAATATTTCAATAGACTATTTTAATCTGTATGATAACTTTATGTTGGTATTCAACTACATATACAACTGACAACTAAAAAGGTCACACCCTCCTATTATGTTAAAGGAAAATTTTGAAACATGAAGACGAAACCAAAAGGGAATATGGTGGAGTAAAGAACTAAGAACGGGAGGCTCGTAAGCAGGCAAGGCAAAACGAACTGTTGAACACAACAATATAGAAGGAACATATTTAAAACTGGTAGAAATGAATAAACCGACCATCTCAAGGATAAGACTTTCTGTCAATTTGTAACATGAGTGGCTGCATTAGATATTGGGCACAACTGAGCAAGGCAAAGATGAAGACTCACCAACTCTGCTCCAGGCTCAAGCGGACCAAAAAACTGCAAGAATAGCTCGTTCAAATAAATCATATCAAATGGTAAATACAATAGAACACCATGATCAATATTTGTATTAGAATGTTTCAACTCTAAGCATCATATTCATCATAATAATAATGATAATAATTAACTAAGTGTCCTTAATTAATTGACTTCCAGAAGAGTTTAATTGTCCGTTATGGCGCTCCAAATCTCATCGTGATGAAGCAGCATGGAACACACCCGCACTTTCCTGAGAAAGGATCATTACCAATGTTTCTAACGCGAAAGACCTTCAAGCACTATTGCACAACCCAATATAATTAGACGACTCTATAGTAGAATTGACTTAAGAAGAAAGGCCAGCAAGCAGTACAGCAGGAAAATTCCCAGTAAATTATTTCATCTTTGCCAACTTCAAGAGCACAATAACCCACAAGCCATAGAGGAACTACATAGTGCAAAATACAGTGCATACATGGCCCTATTATGTTAATTAAGTTCTATACCATAACGCGTGTCTGTCTATGTATTTTGGATATAATCTGTCTAACCAAATTAGCTTGATTCCAGACGAAGAAAGCACAAATTTGTGTTGCTCTATGCTTCTATCTCTGGAATTGTACATCTGTAGTCAACAACTGCAATTCACGGGCAAGAGCGAGTTGAGAAGAAACAAAGAAAACATAGACAACTTAGAACATTCATGTAATTCACCTGAAAAAAAACATTCAAACAGTTTGATCGGCAAAGGTCCGCTCACTATAAAGTGTGTTTCAAAAACAAAAGTTATCCAGTCAACCAAAAGGAAAATAAGAGCTAATTGCTGGCAAAAACCAAATTGTATTGTGAAATGCAAAGGGTTACCATAGTATGTGAAATGCAAAAGCGGCACCATGACATGGGAAAACCTACGCTCTAGACAAACTCAATGAGATTCTTTCTGAAAGAAACTTGAAACAGCAGAGCACATGCTGGAAAAAAGATAACTCATACGCCTCAACCTCAACAGTAAACAACAGTATTGATGACCAAAATCCTGAACCAATAATCATTGGGTACATGAGAAAGCAGGCTTACAAATGCAGTCATATTAAAAAGAATTAAATGGCAACAAAACTATAAACACTTGGTTTCAAGCCACTATGAATTCAAATTGTAAAATCTCTAAAGGGAAAGAAGGGTGACAGGTTAATCACCTATAGAACACTACATTAGAGACATTCAGACCGTGCTATTGACTACAGGGTCTATAAGTTTCTCAAGTTTTCTGGTTCTATGCCAAAAGAATGAATAGGTAAGAGCTAACCTTTGTATCTTCTAGTAGAAATGGAAGAAAGAGAATCAATGACTGATGGCAACGGTTCGGTCAACCTAAGGTGAGTAGGTCTTAGGAGTTGCATAAAAGCACCTCATCATGGGAGTGAGGAGTCAGCTAAAGATTTGCCCTTTCTTCACAGATTGAAAGATAGGCAAGGACCTGATATTAGGAGAAACCCAATAAACTTGATGTAAGGCATAGGTAAGATAGCAAGATAATTCGGGTAAAAAGCATCCGGAAAGAGTAAAAGAAGGGTAAGGAGAATCGTGAAAAGTAAGCTATAGATAATACAAAACTAACATGATTGAGAAGAACACAAGCATTCAAATCCGAATTCACTTATGGGAAAAGACAGTAGTTTCTATTTATAGGTCAGTGCTTCTCGGTTTGTGTCTTTAGTGACACAGAATGATGGGGCGGCAACGGACAATCGTAACTACAGAAAATGATCTCTAAAACAACTTATCAACCTTCATTCTCAATTGGATGTCAATAAATAAAGGAAAGAGTCGGAAGTGATAAGAAATGGACTTACAGAGGAAAGTCATAGATCAGTAGAACTGAATTTCCGAGCCTTTACGGGTCGAGTCTGAGATGACAAAAGATGGATCATTACAGCAGATGGCAACCTTAGTCAAACTCAAGTAGTCCATGTATACATTAAAACAAAAATGAGCAATCAAGCAGGCAGTTCCAATTCAACCACCGAAGTAAACATAAATTTAAAACTCCCAAGTACGTCCATCATGTCTTCCTAGGCCAGAGATTTGAGGAGTCAACTGAGGGTTAAAGGAATCAAGGGAAATAAAAACACTAATCAGTTGTCTGTAAAGAGGACACTAAAAAGGGTTTTATCAACTGATTGGATAATGCCAAAACCACATCAAAACATAACCAATGGAAAACAAATAAAAGGATTGAGCTTCCTAAACCCCTCAGCACTGTATCCCATCTTATAGGCCATAGAGACAAATTAGTAAGAAGCTCAGAGAGACAACCCTAGAAGAAATTGCATACGATAATCCAACGGTTAGAGAGTACACATAATATGGTTGACAGAGAAATAATCACACGGGCTATCAGAGACTACACAGAATATGGTGAGGAAAGCGTAAAAAAGCCAAAAATAGAACTCAACAATTGCATCAACAGACATTAAAGGAACTCCAAAGAAATCCAAGCCCAGGTAGTATATGGTACAACAGGAAGCTCTTCTCTTGTGAGTGTATTAGGTACTTGTTTTATGGTTACTTATCCTTTTTCAAAGTATGAAAACAATTTTTTAGGAAGAAATGAGGAGTTCGTCTGATCATCCCTAGTCATCAAAGTTCAATTGGCTTTTCCCCACAAAATCAACAACTCAGAAATCATATCCAAATGAGGGCTTTGAAGCATAACCTCAAAAATTGGGAGCTAATCAAACGCCATAATGAGGAAATCAGCCAAATTACTAAACCAAATGCAGTCTAACCATGACCCTAGAAAATAAATCTCAAAGAATCAAATGGTAGAATGAAGTAAATAGGCAGAGCATAAAACCAAATGAAAGAAGTAGAGATGCTCACCAGGATCAAGTGAAGGCAAATCAATTTTCCAAGGTCTTAATTCCTGAGACGTCCAAGAAGGAATCAAATACTGTTTCCTCCAGGGCAAAGAAAAGTAGATGAGGCCACACCAATTATTTCTTATATCTATACACAAACCTCCAAAATTTTAAACCGAAAAAGGCATCATCATGAAGAAAGGAATATATAACCAAAAGCAAAGAAGCGCACTTTTATGGATAAGTTAGCAAAGATTCGAACTTTCAAAGACCTACATGGTACATATGCAATTGACATAAATAGCAGTGAAGTGCATAGATATTATAGCAGGAGTCAAGTGCCGTAAATAGAAGTTTGAGAACCGAAAATCACACCAACTGTCCTACCAGCAATTGGGATGTCGTACATTCACATCAAGCTTGGAAGGAAAAAGACAACATCATAAAGTGCACGAACTGAAAAGAGTTTTTCGAATTTGCAGGACCCTGATAGAATTTATAGCAGTTGGGTTACAGAGCAATAAGGCAATAACACATTCAACAACTACAGATCCTAACTGCATTCGTTTCAGCCTATAAAAAGAATGAACCTAACCTTCAAGAGTGCAAAATCTGCTATGAAGTGGCCGGTGAAACAGTCGTCGCCGCTCCTAATAGAGAACAAACAAACGATTTAAACAAATATCCAAGTAAACATGAACCTTAGAAAGGAATCAGATCAAGAGAGGTAGCTCACCACCACAGTAGGTTCCGCCTGTTGCTTCGCAAGCTCAACGGGAAATAAAGTTTCCTAAGAATTTGAGATCAATTTCTTTGCCACAAAACTCGCCGTCCGAACCTCCTTTGAAAGGAGACGAACAAACCCCCTGACAAAAGAAAGAATGAAAACGAAACCATCAAGAAAAGAGAGTAAACAAACTAATCACAGAGAGAGAACAATCACTTGAAATCTAAAAGCGTCGTGGAAACTGGAGATTAGTTTCTTCTCCACACTGCCACTGAACCTCACAAATCCGGCATTTGTGATTAAAATAGGCACCCATCTCGAAGGAAGAGAACATAAACACTCATACAAAATCAGAAAGAGAGAGTGGAAATGAGAATAAAAACGAAATTGGAATTCTTCTCCACGCCATAACTGAAATTCTGAAATGAAAC